CACTCCATCATAAAAGCTAGCTGTTTTTGTTTTAATGTCAATCATGCACTGACTTCTTTATTAAATGTATTGACATGTTTTGCCTATCTTCAATTTGACATGTTGTGTGCCTTCTTTCAACTTGATCTATGTCTGCAAAATGATAGGGGGAGACAATTTTGAAAATCCCTATTTATGTCATACTTGATAGTTATTACTTGCAGTCTATTTATCAAAGCTTTTGTTACAAATTAAATTCAACTTAATGCTTACTGACAAGGGGAGCAACCTTCTTATGTTTATAAAGAACACATCAATGATTTGTCATCATTAAAAAGGGGGAGATTGTTGACCCTACGAATTTCTCCTAAGGGCAATTCGGTACTTTTGATGATAACAAACCATTAATGATGTTCAGTGGACTAATGTTTTCATTAAAGCTCATTCCAGATCAAAAGGAACATTATAAGGTCATGAAAGAAGTACCCAATTCACTGGAGCTAAAATCACAACTGGAACATACCATCAAGATACAACTGGCTTCAAAGATCATAAAAGCTTACCTATGGGGTAGACAGATTGGTGAGTGGCTTAGGAGCAAAATGTAAAGAGTCTGTGATCAATTGAAGCTCTTTCTGAGGTCATATATCATTCATTCACTTCAAATCATCACATACATATTCAGAGGCATTAAAAAACATCAAGAAAATAGACCAAGTCAACTCAGTCGACTAAGTTTATAATTCAACCAACTCAGTTAGGCCGAGGCTCATCAACATCAAAATACAACTCAGCCAACTCTCTTCTCAATTCAGCCGGCTTTCTTCCCAATTTAGCCGATTTCCTTCTCAAGTCAGTCGACTCAGTTAGGCCGAGGCTCTTTACTTTCAGAATCTTGACATTGCTCAACTGAGCCGACTCAGTCCTCAACTGAGTCGACTCATTTGTTAGTCAAACAGATCTGACCTTGAAATCCTCCTTACTTTAACCCGTGCTTTTCTTTGTGCTTTTACAGTTTGACTCACATGGGTTTACTGACATATTGTATCTTCTAGCTCTTGTCTTGATGTCAACAGCCATTTTATCTATTAAAGGTTCATACACATGATTTGAAATCTCATCTGCCCTATGCATTGAACATTTCTGTCAAATAAGGAATCTCTGTCATGGGAAGCTTCTCTATTAAATGTGCCATGACAAGTCTTAATCAAGAAAAGGACTTTTAATGGCTAAGTCAAGGGTTTACAACGGTTATGGTCTATGAAAGAGCTCTATATATGTTATTAGAAGCAAGCTGCAAATGTCAAGTCTCCGAGCCTCATTTTAACAAGTGATTCATATCATCTTACTGAGAAAGAAAGTTTGGCTACCCTCCACTCTTTAATCCTCAAAGATAAACTTCAGATTCTTCTTTCACACATACATAATTTAGAGAGAGTGAGCTTCATTTGTATCATTGGATTCTCTAGAAAGAGTGAATTGTAAACTGTGAGAGAAAGATTGTTGTAACACACTTATTCATTTCCTTGTAAGATTAGGAGAAGAAATTCTCTTAGTCCAAATACTGTAAGGGCTGGTTTGGCCCCTAAGATTTTGAGAGAGAGTCTCTCAGCAGAAAGAAACTGTTTCTTTTAAGGTTTGCTCTCCACCCGTAAGGATGAGCCATATTGGATTGGGAAGTCTCAAAAGGGGTTTTGAGCCGAGAAGTATGAGCTTCCGAACCTCGCTAAAATCGTTGTGTCTATGTTTGCAATATCTCTATCTCTCCTCTTTACATTATTGCTTACATTTATATGCTAATTTATCTAACTTGATTCTGTTATCTCACTATTGCATATCAGCTTAAGTAGTTATTCTAAGAATACTTCTTCAAATCTTTAAATTTGTTTTAGTTGGACAAGGACTCTATTCACCCCCCCTCTAGAGTCCATTCTTGGGCAACAAGTTAATTAGTGGAGGTGTATGATATTAAACTGTTTTAAGTCAAATACTTGAAGTTAAATAGTTTAATTATGCTTTGGAGGTTTAATCAGTCTATTTGAGGTGTATGTTAATTTCTTATTCTGTAATTAAATGCGTATTACTTAGAACTGTTTTATTATTTAGATTAAATACAATAATTGAATATATGATATTAATCATGATAGTTTGGATTATTTGATGTACCGCTTTATAATTGTACGTCATGGATTGGATTGTATGATTTAATGCACCGGTATGGGACGGTAGCATTCTAGGGATGGATTAACCAAAGAAATTAAGTCCTACCTATTTATTTATAAGGGAATGGATTAACCATAGAGTTAAATCCTTTATTCGTGTCAGATCACTGTATCAGATGGATGGCATTTGCTCTATACTTATACGGATTATATATATATATATATAATTATAATTATGGTGCCATGATATGAGCTTGAGTCTTAGGATCATGGTTAAGGTGCGTATGTTGCCAGGAATGTGTAGCTAGATATAATGTAGTTATTTCTCTGGTAGGTCTAGGTACTCATGCCCACTTTATGTGCAATTTGCATGTTGCCTACTATTCGAGTTGAGACAACCCTATTGTCTAGTGAGGTTCCTTTAGTGTGTATTTATATATATACGGACTATTAGATATTGCTGAGTTGATTAGGATGTATACGTGTATCGAATCTCTACTTGGATTGTAGTAGAATATAACTTGTTTGTAGGCTTGACTCACCATTATTTTTCAGGTGTTCTTCAGGTGTAGAAGATTGTTCGTGTTGAGTAGGGATCAGTCTACTTCATTCTTCCGAATCTACTTAGGAGATTCGTTTATGTTTCATCTATTAGATGTAAACAGTCGTTACTTTTATTCATTGCAGTTTTGGTTTTCTAGGAGTCCACACAGTATGGATTCTCGAGTTGTATTAATGTATGATTAATTATATCACAATGATTTTATTATTAATGGAAATTTATTAAGAAGTTTTATTATTGGATTATTTTTTTATTTTTCTTTCAGCAAATTATTTATTCCTATTTATTCTTTTGTATTCTGTGTTAGTTTATTGCTGATTTGTTTTTGATATCCTTAAGTAATTGGGCGTGGGTCTGGCCAACCCGTATTCAAAAATCCGGGGTATCACATATATTAAATATACAGACCACAGTCAAATTTACATAAATAAAATAACAACAACAATATTTAAATAATTAAACTATAGTAAAATCAGATTTTGTCTTAAGATTGTTATCCAAAATATGTGGTCTATATATCATATTCTATAGTATTATTTATTTAAATATTATGTAAAATTATAATGATTAAATATATATAATTATTATTATAAAATAACAATATATATATATATATATAATTTCTTATATTATATAGTTTAATATAATAAAATAAAACTATAAGATAAAAGAACCTGATTAAAAGTCGAGGTTAGAATTTGATTCTATATCTTTAAGACAGATTCGCCCCGCTATGGTGATAACGGATTCAGTGGCGTCTATCTCACATGATACAAATGATTTTTACTTCCTTCGGTAATAGCACTGCAAACCAAAAAAATACGCGAACCAGCTCAGTGTAGTACTCTCTGACTCGAACTCACTGACCAAGGCTCGAACCCAAAGACTATGGCTCGAACCCACAAACAATTATAGAAGAAGAGAGAGAAGAAGGGAATTCAGAAGTAGGAGAAATATTCTAAATTGGAGTGCTTTGGAATGAACCCGATGGGGGTTTATATAGGCCTCATGGTGCTTTTCGGATGGCTTGAATCATCACCTGCATGGGTTCAGGTTAGGTGGTTAAAAAACTGAATGCATTAGTTTAATCTAAAGAGAATGGGTGCAACCCTTTACTGAAAAAACTAAAATCTGGTTTTTTAAATTAAATTAAAACCAGCTCATTAAGTAGGCCCAATTTCGCCCATCTAAATAAGCCCAGCAAAAATAAAGTTAAAAACCAATCACATAAGCTCAATTTCGTTTAATAAAAATTAAACATATTTTACAATCAAGCCCCGCACAAGCACAGGTTAGGCGGGTGGCACGCGTGTGGACTAGGTTCGGACCCAAGCTTACCTAAGTCCTCCCCCTCTTAAAAACTTAGGCACCCTTGGCTCAAACCCAAATTCCATACCAGGTTTATTTATATTTCAAATGGTTTTAATATTTTTCTAATGTGGGACAAACATTTCACACATATTGCAAATTTATTTAGGCTTATCAAACACTTCATTTTGGAGTTAATTTCTTATTCATCTGGAAACAGATTTGAGAAAGTAAATATACCATGTTCAAAGCATGAGAATAAAAACATGCTCGGAACATGAAAGTGACACCTATTGAGAATAATTGTGCGACGTAGGTACTAAATTATTATTGACCGGAAACAATAAGTGGCATAGTTTTCTTCTGTTCAAATTGCTCGACTTCAATATTGTTCCAATTATCCCTTTTTCTTCTTCCACTGGCATGACCAGAGCAACCACTGACATCGACAGCTCAAAACTGTAATGCTTTGATCAATGGACTACCTACCACTGGCACGCATCGAGCCTTCTAGGTACAAAGAGCTGTCACTCTATCTCTCTTCTTGTTGTTTTAAGGTCACTCCCTCAAACACCCTGTCACTGTCCCTGATCCAACTGCACGGAGAAATTAAAGGCCCAACCTTCGATTCCAAGTTGAGTTTTATCATTTTTTTTTCTCAAAAATTTGGTCGGAAACTTTCATTATGTTATTGGTTCAAGGCCTCAACTTGTATTGAGCCGGCTCTGCTCCCATTAATATCGAGTGTTTGGGACCATAACACAATGTAATTCCCTTTTCCTTTACGCGTCTTCTTGTTCACATTCTCTCTTTTCTTTTTTTCTTCTGAATTTGTTCACGCTCTCTTTTTAAAAAAAAAAGCTCCAGAAATCAAACAAAGAGAAGAAAGTGATCAATCTCACCTTTGGATGAAACAACCAATGTTTTGTAGTGGCAAAAGTACATCAAAGCAACAAAGCATTGGCAGATAGACAAACCAAACAAATTCATACACTAGACAGATCGACTTGTTTATTTATTTAGAGCCCTCCAAAAGTTGCAGGGATCATATTAACTACAGAGTGAAAGAGACACACATAAGTTGATCTGGCACTCTAAATTAAGATAATGTAATTTAGCATACATTAGGATGATTTTAATTTGAAATTTCAATCCTCGTCTTTTTTGTCCTCGTTGATCTCCTCAAGAATCACCACAAGAGCAATTATGAAGGCATAATCCACATTCGGATACACAGTCACCGCGAATGTGTCTTTTCCAAGCACGACACTCTGAACACTGTGTTTCTTATGCATCTGCATCGCCATTAATCCAAAATTAACCTCACAATACAAAAATGGCCGATGATATTTAGAATGAAAAAGACTAGCCGATCAATTTTTATCCCTCAAATGCATCCGATAAGATCAAAGTTTTGGTACATGGGTTTTGAAAATCTTACCTGGGCAACGATAGTGGAAGACTCTCCAGCATAAATGACGCAAGATCTATCAAGCCAACTGCCTTTGATCTTGAAATCACAAACATCTTCTTTTGTGTTAGTGGCAAGGAATACATCTAATTGAGTCTTCAATTGGATCAAAGAAGACTTCTTGACACTGAAAAGCAGATCTTTTGAGTCTGAGCTATCTCCTCTGTAAACTTGCCATCTTCTATGTGCAGACAATATCTGATCAATTCAGTAAAAAAAATGTTAATTACAACCATTTAATTGTTGAGCAATTAAGAATAAAGAATATAAGTTATAACCTTTTGTTGGAGAGAGACGAGAGGGTTGCCGGCGGTGTCCAGCAAGATCCGGCGATCGCGAAGGCTCAAGAGCTTACCCTTGACTTTGAACATCAAGTTGCCATTGACATCAGTGACTGCAAAGTTGCCTTCACTTAAGGTCAAGAGCTTCCTCACAATGGTCAGATCCACCGGATATGGAGCACAAAACTGTTGGCTCACAATCGCCGCCGGACTAGCCCCGGTTGGGTAGCTTGATTGTGCCATCATATACTCACAAAACCAAACCGATGACTGTTATATATGTATATATGGAAAAATATATACTAAGATGGAGAGCGTTATAGATATTTCAATACTTTGATGTTCTTGAAATAACGATGATACTCTCACCAATGCACCGGAATCTGTCACTTTTTAAGCTTTATCTTTTGCAGAAGTGGTGGGGTTGACCTTTATTACCACCTCTCGTGGTGGGAGCGTGCTAGATTTTTTTTTGTTTTTTTCCTCTAAATAGTCAAAACGCGCAAGCAGCGTGATGGAAGTGAGTTTGCAGCACCTACTCACCGTGATCAAACAATTTTTACATGCACAACCTTAATATAAAGAATACATGATTGTTCATAGTTGTGTTATCCATTAATTCAATTTAAATATAAACCATTCATTCTTTACTAGAGTGAGTAATAAAAGTTTAAAATGCAAATACTTCCTTCAGTATTATAATTTTTATAGAACTTTGTTTAAAATAAATTTTAAAAGTACGACTTTTTTGTTTTAATAAAAATTTTATAAAACTTAGTTGTCTTTTATGAGATATTTTTTTTATTTTTTATAATATAATAAAAATAAATTTTAATAATTTTATTGAAATTTGAAACTAATTAATAAAAATAGTGACATAGTTAAGAATTTTAAATCATAACATATATAACATGTGTATACATAAAATATGAAAAAAAGAAACGTTGTGTTTGAAACTTAAAAAAAAAATAAAAAAATTAAATTTAAAAAAAAAATTATATGTATAAAATCCTCTTTAAAACTAAATTAACGTATATAATTAAATAGGTATTCGGAAAATTGCTAGATCATGAGGTTTGAAAGTTGAAATACTAACTGCAAAATATTATTTTAGATTTAAACTAATAATAATAATAATAACATGTTTAAGTAATTATTTTTGTATGAGTTTTGGATTGGAAAGGTTGTTGGTGTGAAGTAAGGTAAATAAACTTTATATTTTATTGGGAAATACTCTGTTAGGTGGAGCAATTGCAAATACAGAATGAAATTCTATTTTTAGATCCACTAAAGTAATGGATGCAGCACCAACTTTCATTCCAGAAGCATCCGATTCGTTGATGTGAGAGTAGATTCCAAGTTCGACTATTTGAATTTGGAGTTTGCTCGTAATAGGTGAATGTGATGAAATGAAGAAGAACGACGAGAAAGAAGAAGAATGTATTTTTGTTCGTGGTGAAAATCTTTGTTTAAGGTTGAGTTATGGAGGAATGCATGAAGACAAAATTTGAGCTAAGGTAGAGATTGTTAGAGTGCATCTTAAATTATGCTGAAAATTCAATTTTGGGACAGATGGATCGGTCCAACTTTTGCAAACCAGTCCAACATGCCTGAGAAATTAAAATGGAGATTATGGAGAAAGTAGATCTGTACAACTTTCTATGTACTGGTCCAACGTACCTGATATGTGCGAAAATGAGAGGGTTTTTTTTTTTTTTTTTTTTTTTTTCCTCGTTTGAGGCTTTCCAAAGAGCCTAAACTTGTCAAAAATTTTGTTTCTTATTATGATGTTTCTATTTTAGAGTTAAATTTTGTTACCTATAAATGGAGGTGAGGTTAAGATAATATATATATACATATATATATATTTGAATGGGTTAAGATAATATATTGTGTGAGAAGAAAAATGTGAATAGTGACAGAGAGTACATTGTAAGAGAGAGATTGAGATTGTGTAATCTTTATATTGAAAGAAAAGATAGTCATTTTTTCGTAAATGAAAGTAGACAATTTGCTTAACCACGTAAATCATGTATTATTTTTGTGTGTGTTTTTTTCTGTTTTATTTGCCATTATAGAGTGACTTGTAGTAAAGTTTTTTTTGAATTAATTTCATTGACACTCCCTATGGTTTGGACCATCTTTCACTCACATTCCAAATGTAACTTTTCAATCGTGTCAGAACACTTTGTGTATGTAAAATAACATTATTACCCTTTTGACTTTTCGTTAACTTATTAAAGGGTTGTTTTATGTATAAAATGACTTACTAAAAGGTTGTTTTATGTTTTATGAGAAATATGCTTCAAATTTTAGCCCAAAATTATTTATTTACATAAACAATAATGATAACATTAAATAAAAATTTAATTGAATATTAAATATATTCAAAAATTAAATACGTTATATATAAATTTGTATTTAAATATATATGTTAATAAACTTTATATTTATAATATTCAATTTCATGTTTTTAAATTTAATTATAAATTTAAACTCAAAGCTATTTATTTATATTAAATAAATTTTAATTTTAAATGTATTATATATAATTTTTTATTTAAATATATATGTTAAGAAACTTTATATTAAATATGCTAATAAATATCTATATATATATATATATATATATATATATATATATTATGAGGGCAAATTTGTCCTTTAAGGTTGCTGATATATTGAATTAAAATAGATTTTAAAAATGGGGGTTAAATTATCATTTCACACATTTTTAACGGTAAAAGTGACGAAAAAGTCATTTAGGGGGTCTAAGTAATGGTGATTTTTGAAAGGTAACTCTACGTGAGATTCGTCCAAACTTCAAGAGTGTTAATAAAAATAATCTCCTTTTTTTCTCATTGGTTAAAAACTTACACATACATTTACCCCTACGAAAGCTCAGAATCCCCACCATCACCATTTACACATTGCTTCATCTTGTAGTAATTTTCCTATGTAAATTTCTTTTATCAAAAAATGTTTGTAGTGCAACCTTTTCACAGCTCCCACTAGTCATGAATTATTGCTCCGCATTATTATTATTATTATTATTATTATTATTATTATTATTATTATTGTACTATTGACAATGCAATCAGAGAAAACAACAGAAGCCAAAAAGACCCTCAAACAAGAGAGGGAATAGATCAGTCTCAACGGCTTCCAAAAGCCACTTAGGCCAAACATCCCAGGGGATCAGCTTCTTGTCTACAAGCTAAGGCCCATTTGAAACCTGATAAATGGGCGAGACAAAGGAAGAATATCAAGAAGTAAATTCAAACAACGTGGAAGCATATTTTAAGAGAAGATTAAATTTTTTATTTTGCAACAATATGGAAGCATCGAGATATATATATATATATATATATATATATACACACACACATCATTGTAATTGTCATATAATTCACATCTCTCTTCCTATGTAATTGTCATTAAATTTATGTCGTTTATAATTATAATTCAGTTTTTCTAGTCAATGGTCCCTCTGAATAGGGTCTTTCCGCGAAATTCTACTCTGCCGGATGGGTGGCATCTATTGTCTCCCATCTGATCCTTGTGTTTTTAAAGCTCATTTAATAGTTACTTATTTTTATATTATATAAAACAGTGTCCAAAAAGTCGTTAGAAGCGGCCAAGACTGTTGATATAAATTATTATTTTTCCATAACCTCTAAACGACATTTTTAAACCAAATTTATTGTTGCAATAGTAATCACCACCACCACCACCACCACCACCACCACCACCACCACCACCACCACCACCACCACTTTACGTGTTGGGGAAAAAATATATATATGTACAAGATTTGAAACGTGAAAATGGTTTGGCTTTTATTTTATCCCATTATGGCGTAAAAATGGAGACTTTTATTTATTATTATTTATTATTTTATTTTAAAGTTTGATTGGATTTTGGGACACTATATGGATCAGTACAGGACATATGTCCTTCTTATATCCTTTTTTATTTATTATTATTTTTTTTAATTACACGGGATTTGGTATGTGGTTTAGTTAAGGACATAAGTGTGTGATGGACCAATTATTTTTTTAATAACATGGTGTAATAGTGCTATTTACGTTAGATTTGTGAGCGTACGGTCGTAGAATTTGGTAGATACACATAAATCTAGCCAATCTATTGGACCTGGACATATGTTATTATGGTGTGTTTTGGGATAAGATAATTAAACCATCACTACTAGTCAAACAATCTAGAACTATTAGTTTGATATATTTTACGTTAGGTATGGATTCGTATCATATTACAACGCCATGATATTGGTAGTTGTTAATGTTTCGGTATACGTGAGGTAGTGGTAAATAAAGATCACTGTAACGCCATGATGATTTATCAGAGGTGCTGGATTTGCTGAACATCTTCTTGAAAATTTTAGAAGTTGTTACTAAGTCAGATGGAGGATTTAGTACTGGATTAAGTACTTATTGGAATGACACCGAGTGATGATAGGAGACTAAATAAATATTCATCAGTAAATTCTTAATCAAGAATTTATTCACGAGGGTGTGTCATTAGGAGGAATTTGCCGGTGTTGCACATGGAGGAGGAAATTAAGTCTCTTCATTTCCATAAATAATATGGAATTATTTTTTAGTCACAATTTGCAACAATTAGCTGTTGTTAGGAAATTGATAACTTATGTAAATGATGGAAAGATTTTATATTCTTTTGAAATTAGACAAAGAAATCGGATTGTCATTAACTTGTCTTAAAGAAACAAGGTGTGTCAAAGACAAGATGGTGAAACCAAACACCTATATAAAGATGAGGTGCATGGTATGTATGGAAATGTCGTAGTTTGTTGACTTTTGTTGAGTTAAAGTCATAGTTGACTATTGGTAAATGGAATTACCGATTGATTTTCAATATCGGCAAGTTTATCATGGATCAGTGGTGGATAGATTTAGTTACAGAATTCGCTTTTGAAGATGTTCCAATTTAAACGTTGGGTACAGATGAAAGCTGGTGGTACCGGACTAACGGTACTTTCTATAGACAAATTGGATGGAGGATGCACGGACTGAGTTTCACAACTTTTAGTTCTTCATCCTGGTGGAAACATGATGCTTCACGATAGGCAGGAGAAGGGACATAGTGATTTTTCTCAAAGTCTAATATTTATTAGATAGTAGAGATGGACCATCAAAGATCACTAGATCCTTTACAGACATTTCCTATACTAAAGTGGAAATAAGAAAGCATTTTACAGATTTAGTTGCGGGATTTCTGATTTTACACAAGGGTCAGGATTCTAGATGGGATATTGGTTGACTGATACATTAGGTCGGCTTGATTCTTATCTATTTCGAACTGGTAGGACTTTAGTTTATACGAATAAAATGGATCACGAGACG